CCATGGCGCGAACAACCAGATCGAGGTGGTCTCACAGATTCTCGATTAGGTTTAAATCCGTTTGCTGGCCAGGGGAGTACGGTAAACTCATCCTGGTGCTCTTCGAACCACGCTTGGTAGCCCCTTGGTTCATCTGGGCGGTCAGTCGCTCAACAGTTGCACGCCTATTCTCCCGAACGCATCCCCGTAGCCTTCGTTCGCCTCTGTCATCTATAGCCCGTGGTGCACCACATGTGCCACGCCGCTGATTTTGTATAGGGCCATTTTGCCATGCACCACCGGATACTTTTAACACGGCGGCAAGCGAACAGTTCACAAAATTAGCCGTTTCCGAAATGCTTCCAATCTTGGCCCGAAAGCCAATAATCATGCCCTTTTGGACGTCAGATAAATCGCTACTTTTCTGCATTACGCCAACGATTGAAATGCTTCCCGATGCCTTAGGACATCCTTTATATACACTCCACTGCAATGTGCTGCCACCTGCCTTTTGGGATTGGTTATTTCACGTTGACGTCGAAAGTAGATGGTGATCACATTAATGTGACTGGACTGTGTATAAAACAACAGTGATTCTACAATTTCTACGAAAAGGCTCCTAACCCTGTAAGCTATGAGATGTCCCATACAATTTTCTTGGGGCTATTATTTCATTTTCACTTTTTGTTTCAAGTTCTAGTAGTGCTTCATGTTTTCTAATCATCGTTTAAGTGTTAAAATGTTGTGATGGATTTGATCTTCAGTTTTGTCTATTTCTTTCGTGTTCAAATTTACTCCTTTTATTGTTATTCTTTTGGTTTGCCAGAGAGTGCAAGCAACGTTTATCGTATTTTAGGGAGAATTTTGGATTTCTGGAATGTCGAATTTTTTTTGTGATTTCTGGAATTTTGAATTTTAGAGTGGTTTTTTAATGGTGGTTTTATTTTCAGTTTTGCAAAATTGCTTTGATTGTTTAAAAAAAAAAAAAAAAAAAAACATTTGGATAAATTAAGACAAAGCAGCTTCGGCGGGCATACTTGTGTGTCCAAAAAGTAAGACCAGTTTTTTCTTTTTTAGGTTGCTGGCTCTGTCCTTGACATTTGTGCGAAATTTGACGTCAAAATATTCATTAGTGTTTGAGTTACGCTTGGCTTTGTGAGAAGCTAAAATTGTTCCGGCGATTTATGAAATGCCTGCATTAATTGAGCAAAGTTGCATTGAATTTTGTTTGCGGAAACGTATAGAATGTTGCAGAAGGCATTCGGTGAGCATTCCTATATCGGAAAGAAATGTTTACAAGTGGTATAAACAGTTCAAAGAAAGCAGAGAACGCGTTAAAGACGAAGAGCCCTCTGGTCGACCACCAACCTCAACCGACAAAGCTCACGTCCAAAAAATTAAAGATTTGGTGCTTGCAAAGCGTCTATTTATAATTAGAGACCTAGCTGAGGATGCTGGAATTTCAAAAGGATCGGTCCATTCCATTTTGGGTCTCAAACGCGTCAAATCTCGATTGGTACCGAAAACACTGAATGCGACAGCTCACACTGCATTGATTCTTCGTTATTTTTTCGCCAAAAATGAAACCCATATCGTTCCACAACCATCGTGTTTACTCCTGGCTATTCCCTAAACTCAAAAGACCACTCCGGGCACACCGTTTTGAGTCGATTGAAGAGATTTCACGTGAATCGGCGCGCGCTTTGAAGGCCATCCCTGCCGATGACTTTTTAGCATGCATTGAGAATTGGAAAAAAATTAGCATAAGAGCATCGTGTCCGGAGTCTTTGAAGGCGCTGAAATAAATTTGGAAGAATAAATAAAGAGATTTTTGAAAAAAAAAATAATAATAATAATTGGTTTTACTTTTTGGTCACACTAGTACTTCTCAAAGCACCAAGTCAAGTCAAGACAAGGCGGTTGCCAAGAGATGGAAAAGATTCCACCGGAAAGTTACAAGATACGGATTAAACATGGTGAAAGGCTTTGTTTGAATAATCACCAAATGAAGCAATTCTAATTCGAACACAATCCAGACGTGATACTGCTATTTCGGGATTCCATTTACCACAATGTCAAGAAGGGCAAGCAATGTGAATACAAATATTATTCATGTTAAACATTTTAAACAGCATGCCTTTATATATATATTTCAATTCCTACTATTAATTCACACTCTCCCTATATATATCTTGTTCAATTTTTCAATCGTTCATAAAATACTTTTTATTCCTCCACTCAAGTTCAAATACATTTTTTTTAACTTACAGTGGGTGATACTGGATGTTAATACAGTTTTTTTTAAATATTAATTCATTAATTAAATTAAATTAATTAATTTTAGTTTTATAGGGGAGAAAAAAAAATTTCTCTTATATAAGATATTTAGCTTGATATAAATTTAGTTAATAAACACCATCACTGGCGAAGCGTGTAGATCGCTGAGAAAAAATTTCTTTTTCAGATTCTTTTTTCATTCTGGGTTCTAGTGTGAGTGAAGGAGGGAACAAAATGGAAAATGAAACATGTGAATAAATTAGTGAGAGAGATAGTGTGTGAGAGAGAGAGAATTTTTTCTAACTTAAAAAAGTGAATGAAAATTATTTATAAAGGACTTTCTGCAATAGAGTGAAAAAAAAGGTAGGAATTGACTTTAATTTTTTTTTTAATTACTCGTTTTACAATTAAGTTTGCCATTTTATTTGTACTTCTACAGTAATCTCTCGTTATATCGCGCATGTCAAGAGTCAATTCTGGGTGGTCAAGCTGTGATGCAAGGCGTAGAAAGCTTACCCTACCATGGCATGCTAGACCCTACCATGTCCAAGCATACCAAAGCGGAAGAGACCATCAACGCCCTGCTGCACAAAAACAACCTCATCAAGCGCAGGCCGGAAGATCAGATATCACTCAGAGCGCAGGGCCAACCGATCTTGCAGAAAATGAGACTGTTGACGCAGTTGTGGTCAATACAAATGAGCCGTAAAACGAACAACTGAAATTGGAACGATATCTTCTTTAAATTGTAATAGTTTTATTTTGAACAGAAATTTTTAAGATAAATACGTATTTTTTTAATCCAAATAGGGAAATATGCGTTTTTGAAATTATATTTTTATTATTTTTTTAAATATTTTAGTATTATAGGGTCGTCCTTTTTGAAGAATTGTTGCTCTGCAGCATGTTCTTGCTTGTATGTTGTGTGTGTTTCGACTAATCCTCTTCGTCCTGCAGTGCAGGACGGACACCCCATGAGAGTAGTCTACTCATGGATGGAGGGAAAGTTGCTTCTGTTGTGATGGAGCACACGCAGGTTTGACTTGCCTTTAGGACGCTCTTCAGTCGTATGAGACTGGGACCTAAGTCTTAAAGAGGATTCCGAACCACTACAAACATCCACGGCACCCGCCGGGACTCGAACCCTACACCTGCGGCACTGAGCGTCAGAGCGCTAGACATTCGGCCATTCAGGACCATGTTTTGACTTTAAACATGCATGCGATTCTTCGTACTGATTTTATTACTAAACTTACTACAGGTCTCACTCGGAAATGCTTTAAAATAACAGTTCCATGCTTTAAAGTAACAGTAATATTGTTCTAATAAAACTTACACAGCTAATGACAACTAGTATTACCTTACATAGAGAATAGCTTCTTCGTTCATCTTGTAGTGACTGCATAATGTAAACTTACTACTGTGCGAAAAAAGTAAGACCAATTTTTTTTTTCAAAAACTCTTTATTTATTCTTCTATGTTTATTTCATCGTCTTCAAAGAAGTATCCCAATCAATTGCTTCGTA